GATATATAGTTGGTCATGATTAGATTAGGATTTAATTGTAATATACTGAAGTAAATTTAGTTGAGGTGTTTAAAATGCCACAAGCATCTATAGAATTTTTTTATTTGTCACCTGAGATTTAATTTATACCCAGTATTTTTCATTACATTTATAAATGACCAGTGTTGTTATTGTTAACTAAAGCTGAAAAATTAGTTAGTTAAATGAGTTAGCTAAATAAAAATATATTTAAATAAAACGAATAAAAATGACAAAAGCACATAACAAAATCATTATAACTTAAACTAAAATGAAAACTGAAAATCCTATTTTAAAAAGCCAATTAAAAATATTAATAAATACTATAATAGTATAAAATATACTGAAATTGTCTACATTTTATGGACCATAATTGCTCTAATTTACCCCAAAGTCTTCAAAATATAGCCATAACACATGCCACCATGGGAAATATTAAACTAGAGATTTGCTCCATCAGGGGAAAAAAAACTCACACAAAATATGTTTTTCACAGCATGTAGTACTTTATTTAGGGGGAGTTTATCGTGTAGCTCATTAGAAAGCGATATATTTAGGCAGACGAATGCACAGAAATCCATCTGCATTCATGACATTTCTAAGAACATCATTGTAAAACTAAACAGACCACTTGCTAAGGACCCCCTTGCCACATAACCAAGAAAACAATGAGTGCTCAATAGGATATGAGGGCCTTTGATGTTGTGTCGCATCTATTGGACTTCATTTCTGGCTAGACCTTTATAGGTCCTTTGATTAGGGCCTTGTTCTGTATGAGATCATGTCTCATTATAGGAACGTTACCTATGTTGTGTAACTTTTGTTCAACAGCACTGCAATAACACCTGTGCGTGAAATTTAACAGTGTGTCATATTGTGTAGTGTTAGTAAGATATCTGAACCAGTGGATTCAACCTAGTCAGCACAACCTGCAGAACCGATGTGCCTGTGAACCCTATTCTGGTGAACATGTCATCTCGCTCTGATCACGCTCTCTATGGCTGAGTGGCGTTGACGTGGCATCAAAAAGAGGTAAAAGAACATAAAAAAAAAAAACAGTGGGCTTTTATCTCTGACCTTGATCCGCTGCTCCAGAAACCTTCTGCTAGTTTTACTGGAGAGCTATTTGGACCAAGCAGCCATAGTCTGGATGTATCTTTTCAACAAATACACTTGGGCTTCAAAGGGGCATGACCTCCCAGTAAATAAGTGAGCAACATGCATCCATTAGTACATCTTCAAAATGCCCATCCAGCCCATTTTCTGTTTGTATCTTAATGGATTGTTGACTACTGTAGACTTTTGCAGAAACAGTCAGTTCTGCGTTGGAGTCATGTGCATTGCTCGATGGCACAATGGTGATTGAGGACGATTGTGATCACAGAAAAAACTGTCTCACATCTTCCAACCTCTGGACCAGCAGCTCTGTAAACATCAGGGATCACCTCTCCATGAACATTTCGTTCTTCTCTCCATGGTTTCTTCAGGGTTGCACAAACAGACAAGCAGAGCCGTTCTGAAGAAAAGTGATGGTGCTGCCACTGCACAGCGGAAAGGTTGCGAGTTCCATCGTTCCCATGGAGGAATCATGGTCTACGTGTCAAGTTTGCCATGGACACACATGGCGTGGGAGGTACTTGGGTTGCGACATTTGTCACAACTGAAGCTGTGTGATTGCTTTGGCTGCTGCTGGCTTGTATCAGCAATTGCACACAGTTTGTTTGATCCAGCGTGCTATTGGGTCTTTCTCAACACTGGCTGCATCAAGGTCTGGAGCAGTTGTCTACCCTTGGCAGCAGACACTTACTCCAGCACCTCCATCATCTTCTTCATCATCGTCGTTGTCATCCCCTTCATCACTCCCCTCGGATAAGATCTGTTGATGGAGAAAAACATTGTTGCTCAAATAGATAGACAGTAATAAAATGTTGACTTTATATTTTAACATATTTAGTTAGATTAGAGTCTTTTTGCTTTGACTCAGTTACGTTGAATTTACTTACTAGAATATGTTTTGTTGGCACAATTATGTTTTATTGATCCAGCCACTTTTTTTAAAGTTATGTGAGTTTATCAAGTTTAGTTTGAATACACTCTAAAAATGCTGGGTTGTTTCAACCCAACTTTGGGTCAAATATGGACTAACCCAACTTTTGGGTTAAATTTTTACATTAAATTTTTAACCCAAAAGTTGGGTTAGTCCATATTTGACCCAAAGTTGGGTTGAAACAACCCAGCATTTTTTAGAGTGTATCTTTATAAAAGTAAAGTCAGTACCAAAGTTAATATTCATTTAACCTAATTTGACTTATTTTTTTAGTTCAACCAAATATAATAATTCCTTTATTTAAGTTGTTCATTGCAACCATATCAAAATGCAAAGAATTCTAAAACATAAAATAGTAAATATGAAATTTATGAAAACACACCTTCCATATAACACACTTTAATTTTTTTCATTTAGGACTGTGCATTAAAGAAAAAATGCAATATATATTTATAAACCTTAAATGTCTTATTTGTTTTGCTGTCATAGTTTTGGGGTGCATTTTCTCATATAATACATAGCTACTTGATTAAATAAATAAATGGTGATATTGATTTCAGATATTATTTTATTATTTTATTATCTTACTTGCAGATTATCAATTTATATATAGCAAGTTTGTTTAAGTTTGCCACCCATCCTTTACCCTGAGGAAACTGGCACACCCTCTTACATTAACACATTCTCTACAGAGGTGGGTGAATATAGAACAATAGCCTGAACTTAAGGTGCCATGCACAAACTAAGAGTTAATGTTTAACTTAAAATACAGTACAGTTCAAATATAATATAATAGCAGATGCCGTTACCATAGTATCAATACAAGACACATTAGTACATATGTCCTCAAAAGTATTTTATCTGCAGTGACGCTTGCAATAACCTTATTTGTCTATTATCCTCAATCTATCTATAAATCTATCTAAAGATGAGTTCATACATACATGGATGATTTAGATTAAGTGATACTGCAACTTAATGTCAAACCTAAAACCATTCTTAAATGTGTGGTTCGAAATAGTTGCTGGACTAAAAATGTGCATTCTTGCTAGTTTGCAATAATAATAATAACATTTTACCTTATACTTGTATTTTTCTTGAAGGGAATCATTTAAAAAAAAAGCCTTACCATGCTGATGATTTGTTCAAGGTTCAGAGCAGCGAAGTGCAGTTCATGTGAAGTGGATCTTCATCTGTTACTTATACTGTTCACAGAAACGGTTCACACCTCCTCAAAGAACACAACTATGCAACACCCAGTCCGGTGCAGACATGTTAGATGAGATCTTTTCACAGAAACTAAAGTGAAAGTGAAACTTTACTTGCGAGGGATTTCAGATGTTCTCAGTTATATCATTTATCGTGTAACATTTAAGATACAAAAGTTTAAGCCACATTATAATGTAAGATAAGAAAAGAATGACAGCGACACGTGAGGAAGTTTTGATCATGTTTGGCCTCTTGGTTATACTTATGTCAAATCTATGCAACGCTTTTGATTGTTTTGCACAAGACCTTGCATGTGTATTTTATACTTCTGGTCACAATTTACAAAATTCCATTTGTTCACATTCATAAACTGCATAAGTTAACATGAACTATCAGTGATAAATACTTCTAAAGCATTTATTATTAATGTCAATTTCAAAATGTACTACATTATTAAAATAAAGAGTTGTATCTTGAGTTGTATGTTAACAAATATTAATAAATACTGTAACAAATGTATTGCTCGTTGTTAATTAATTGGACCTTGTTGTAAAGTGTTACAACATACTTTCTCATATATATACAGTATACTTTGTATCACCACTGATTTATTTATTTATTTGTTTTTTCTACATTGTCTAAACAATCTCGTTGGCCTACTGTAAGAAGTGCTATAGTTAGTAAATTAATCATCAAACATTGGCAGATAAACAAAAATAAACACAGTACAATATTAATTTTTGTTGCAGATTTTACTATTTTTATTTAGATTTTTTTTTTTTCATTTTTTCCGGGGCTTGTTGTTTTATCAGCTGGGCCCCGGACCAACTGAACCAAGCAATGCAGAAACCAAAGGTTTCACCAAAAATTCACTTCTTCACTTTACTTTACATTTGTAGCATTATTCATGAGTCAGCAACGTGTTAAAGAGGTTTCTTGGTTCAGTTTTGGCATCACATTCATTGGTTTTTTTCTTGGCTTTGTAGCATTTGTCGGAAACTTGAGGCTTTAAGCGCGGATCGTCAGGCATCACAGCAGTGATAGGCTTGGCAGACTGCGCAGGCCTCTGCACATCTGGACACCAGCACAAAACAAAGATTGAGACTCATGCAAATGAGTTTCCCCTCTGAATGGCGCTGTGCCAGATGACCCCGCCCCTGGCAGCAAGGATTTACATGACCTCCGCCTCCTTCATGATGCTAGAACAAACAACACAAAACCATTCAGCTACAAGAAATGCAGATGGTGTCAAAATATCAATTATATAACAACTGTATAACCATATAACTTATTATATAACAATATTACTGAATAATGCATTTGAATGAAATCACTGGAAATAACACTGTAAGGTTTATGTTTACAGTAGCACCCAGTCTTTTACAGTAGCTCAAAAAAAGTCAGAAAAACATCCAATATACTCACACATTAGTGCTCCAAGACCAGTCAAGTTTCCACAGCGTCTCCCACAGAGGAAACACCGTAGACCTGTTAAGAGGATTCAGTTTCCAGGTTACACAGTGACAAAACAGCTAAATAAAATCTGCATGACAAAATCACTTAATTGCGATGATTGAAAACACTTTAAGAAATCTTTAAGGAAATACATTTTTATAATAAAGTAATCATAATTATGGGAAATTTGACCAACTTACCTTGTTGATCTGGCAGCAGAAGGATCTGGTCATGGAAAGGACAGATCAGTGTGACTCTCTGTAATTTATACCAGTGCACTGTTCCCAACCTCAACTGATCTGGGAACAGCTGTTGGCCATATGTTTTCATAGGTTTCATTTTCTCAGTAAGTTTCTGATCTTCTGTCGGCCCGTCCCTATACAGGAAGGCTTTGTTGTTGTTCCATGGTGAATGGCACAGCATTTTTGTTGGAGCCTTTTAAACGTCCACTAAAATTAATCGTTCAGTTACACTTTACCATAAGGTTCCATTTGTTAACATTAATTAGTGTGAATTAACAATTAAGACAACTTCTATATAATTGAAGTTGAGATCAGCAGGATTTCTGTGGTATCAGGTTTTGTTTACTTTCGGTCAGAAAAACATCCAATATACTCACACATTAGTGCTCCAAGACCAGTCAAGTTTCCACAGCGTCTCCCACAGAGGAAACACCGTAGACCTGTTAAGAGGATTCAGTTTCCAGGTTACACAGTGACAAAACAGCTAAAGAAAATCTGCATGACAAAATCACTTAATTGCGATGATTGAAAACACTTTAAGAAATCTTTAAGGAAATACATTTTTATAATAAAGTAATCATAATTATGGGAAATTTGACCAACTTACCTTGTTGATCTGGCTGCAGAAGGATCTGGTCATGGAAAGGACAGATCAGTGTGACTCTCTGTAATTTATACCAGTGCACTGTTCCCACCCTCAACTGATCTGGGAACAGCTGTTGGCCATATGTTTTCATAGGTTTCATTTTCTCAGTAAGTTTCTGATCTTCTGTCGGCCCGTCCCTATACAGGAAGGCTTTGTTGTTGTTCCATGGTGAATGGCACAGCATTTTTGTTGGAGCCTTTTAAACGTCCACTAAAATTAATCGTTCAGTTACACTTTACCATAAGGTTCCATTTGTTAACATTAATTAGTGTGAATTAACAATTAAGACAACTTCTATATAATTGAAGTTGAGATCAGCAGGATTTCTGTGGTATCAGGTTTTGTTTACTTTCGATTCTGCTCTTGGTTTCTCTTTCTCGAACCTCATTATGTTGAATTATGGGCAAGGTTAGAAGAATGATGTTCATGAATGTGAATGATAACCCGTCATCAACTTGTTTAAAAATGAGATCAATTATTTTTGAAAGAAACAGTTCATCCAACTATTATGAATGAATTTTTCTGTGAAACACAAAGTAGGATTTTGGGAAATGTTTGGGGAGGTGGGTTTCAATAAAAACGAAAGTCAATGGGGAACAAATGTGGTTAGATCCCATTGACTTTCAGAATACATTCTTTTATGTTCCATAGAAGAAAGTCATGCAGGCTTGGAACGACATGAGTCTGAGATATGATGAAAATCTCCTTTACCTTGTTATTCTTTAAAAAAGAGTTTCATAACTTGAATAAAATAAAACACAGACATTAATTTCAGTTTTTTTCCATTTTTATTCATTTTTTTTGGAAAGAGTTGCACTCAGCCTTCATTTAAACAAAACAAAAAAAAGGTTTGTTTCACAGCAGGCCATCCCCATCACCTGCCAACCAAGCAACAGACAACCAGAAGCCGACCAAAGGGGGGAAAGGGGGGTTTAAGGGTAGTAGTCGGCTTCAGTTTTCTTGTTTGTGTGATTTGTTTGGTTGCTTCTAGTTTTCTGGTGCTTTGTCAGCGGGTCCTAGACCTGGCGCTGTTCACTGCAGGTCCACTGGACCCCGGCCAGAGATCCAGTGTTGCCAGAGAATGCACTAGAACAGGGCAGTGGACCCGAGTGCCCGAATCCCTTGGCAGTTGGGTTCTCCTCCTCTCCTCCTCAAAATCTAAACACAGAATGAACATCACATTATTATATCTAAAGTTCAAAGATACATGACTGATCTAATAATAAATTAATGTGAAAGATAGCCTACTTACAAAATAATAATAAACGCAAGCATCGAGATCCTTAGGCAGCGTGACGTCTCAACTCGTGTGCAGTCATCTAGTGGCAGCTAAAATTGAGAGGAATTGAAAAAAATATGAATTTCATATTATTATTAACAAACTCAAAACTGCCTATCCAGTTCTGCGAAAACAAATCGCAATATAAACTAATCCCCTAGATAAATCTGCGCACATAATCACAAATGATCAAGGATTTGTCTATCAAGCAGGCAACGTTTTTCTATTTAATCAGATGCGATTATGGCCTAGATCGGTTTTGTAAAATGGATTGTACATTTTATTTGACAAATGGGTGGTGGTTTTGTTCATTACGTTACACGAGCACAACTTCCTTATTGCGTATAGCCAGTAAAGAGATCACAGAAAAAGATACATTATTTAAAAAGTATGTGATCATTACTGCTCTCAATTTTAAAAATCAAATAAACAGCTAGGACCACTCACCAGTCTGCACACTAGATCACAGCATACAAGCTGTCCATCTCCGCTCCATATCAGACAAGAGCGTCTGCAGGACAGAAAGGAGGGGTCTCTGTTTCCTCTCGCTTAAATACTCTAACACTTCCTCAATGAACTCCTCCCTCTCCTCATCAGATTCGGTTTCTCAGTAAAGTGAAAGCTACAGTAGGGACTTGTCTGAAGACGTTTTTATTGTGATATTTCATATGACATTTCTTTTTACTTTTTTTTATTATTTATTTCATGGCAATGTTTTAATCTGTTGGTCCCCCAACCAACAGAAACCGAGCTCACAAAAAGGTTCAAACCCGCAAATAATAAAATAACATTCAGCAAGACAAAAAAAATCGTCATTGTATAACTAAAAACACTTTCAAACAACCCCTTACCACATAACCAAAAACTCTAACTCTATTAACTCTATTTTGTGGACCCACTGCTCTGTACATTTTGTATGTCTCTTATACCTGACAGCTGACACACTCATTTCAGTTCATGGATCTCTCTCTCTCTTAACGAGCTGATGATTTGAATCAGGTGTGTTAAAATAAGGAAGCCATACAAAATGTGCCGAGCGGTGGGTCCCCAGGACAGGAGTCGAGAGCCGCTGATAGAAAGTATCTGGTGTCAAATCTTCAGAATGTTAGAGGCTCTACTTTGGGCTATAGACCTAAAAGTCCTTTGATTCAGACCGTGCTCTGTAGGAGATTATTTCTTATTACAGTTACTGTAAGCCACATTGTGTGACTTTTGTTCAACAGCACTATAATAACTCCTGTATGCAGGAATCAGCAGTGTGTCATATTGTGTTATTAAGATATCTTAACCAATAGATTCAACTAAGTCTGGTGTCTGTGAAGCCTATCCTGGTTACAATAAATAAAAAAATTTAAAACAAACAAAAATAAACAATAAACAATAATGAACATTTATTTTGGAATTTTGCTATTTTATTCACTTATTTTTTCAGGGCTTTTTCTTTTATCAGCTGGGCCCCAGACCAGCCGAACCAAGCAAGGCAGAAACCAAGGTTTCACCAAAAAAGGCACAAGAAAATATACTTCATTTGTTTCATATTTGTAGCATTATTTAAGTGTCAACAAAGTGTCAGAAAGCTTTCTTGGTTCACCTTTAGCATTATGTGCATTGGTATGTTTTTTCTGGTTGGTTGTTTGCATTAGACTTCAAACAAGATTGAGATTTGAGATTTCATAATAGATTTGAAATGTCATAGTAGACTATACAGCGCGTGGTAGACTTTCACTGTAAACTAGACAGCGCGTGGTAGACTTTCACTGTAAACTAGACAGCGCGTAGTAGACTTTCACCGTAAACAAGACGGTGTGTAGTAGACTTTCATCGTAAACAAGACGGTTTGTAGTAGACTTTCATCGTAAACAAGACGGTTTGTAGTAGACTTTCATCGTAAACAAGACGGTTTGTAGTAGACTTTCATCATAAACAAGACGGTTTGTAGTAGACTTTCATCATAAACAAGACAGTTTGTAGTAGACTTTCATCATAAACAACAGTTTGTAGTAGACTTTCATCATAAACAACACAGTTTATAGTAGACTTTCATCGTAAACCAGAAGGTCCGTAGTAGACTTTCATCGTAAACTAGAGTTTATAGTAGACTTTCATAGAACAGTAGATTTTTACTGTAGACCGGACAGTTCATATAGACTTGAAACTTCATAAGACTTCAGATTTTGCATTAGACTTCATATGAATGTTGAAACTATAAGTACTTCAAAGGAGACTCAAGACTTCACATAATATCCCAGACTGCACAGCATTGAGGTGCTGGCCTCTGCACATCTGGACACCAACGCAAAACAAAGGTAATAGATCCACTGAATAGCACTGGGCCAGATGACCCGCCTCTGGCAGCAAGGTTTTACATGTACTCCTCCTTCATGATGCTAGAACAAACAGTAAAGCCATTTAGCTATTGGAAATGCAGACAGTTTTAAATAAAGTAGCAATAATATTCTTATTATATTAAGCTTCAAAAGGCAAAAATACAACAGGGCAAAAAAACATACGAAAATATACAAGTAAACAAAGTAAAACCAAAAGGTATTCTGACAAATTATAAGATTTATATATATTAAAACAAATTGATTAATATCAATGATATGACCTTTAACAAAAGATATAACCAAGTAATGTACAGGAAAGTTTTGCTATACTTTCTTGGGGAATGGTACATTGTTTTCTCTTTTGTTTTTTGAGCCTTTTAAACATCCACTAAAATGAATCTCGGTCACTCTTATCTCTAGAAATGTAGATGGGGAAACTTGAGTGTAACATGATGCTTACCTTGTGACTACTGTTAGTAAATAATCCATGCTGTTTCTTTCTTACATGAATCACTTGCGTATATTTTTTGGGTAATACCCATTAATTTCCTATGGCGGTCATATCGGACTGTGATTTTTTATTTAATTTTTTTATTATGTCCATGTTTTTGTGTACATGCGCACGTGTGTGTATCTTACATAGCTAGTGCCATCAAAGTCACAAATTAGAACAAATCCTGCAATGTTTTGCCCTTGGAAGCAGGATCTCCATCTCCTCTATGTAACAAAACAATCAAAAAACATCAAGATCGCCAAATGGGATTGCAGATGATAACAATTATATAGCAATTTATAAATTATGTACTTAATGTACATTTCACTTGTGTATCTTAAGGTCTGATTGCCTCCTGTAATTTATAATTTAACAGTACCTCGCCTGTGATGTTGGCAGATCTTGCCCTGGAAAGTCCTGGAAGGATCTCCACACCCAAATCTAGTCATGATTAATAAGAGACAAACACACGCAACAGGGCAGCTCCTGTGGTATCAGTGACGTTTACAGCTGTGGTTGCGTGAATGGTGACAAATAACTTCTGTTCTGCTCCTAGTTTCGGTTTCACAGTATGTTTCTCACTGCATGCACTAAACATACTTAGTTGTTTTTATGACTTGTACCCTTTATGGAGAGGGATGGGTGGAGTACATCATAATATTATTTAAGCCCTTTACCAAATTTGCAAAATGCACATAATTTATTCTTGATGATACATCATTTAAAAGGCATTGCACAGCTCACTTTATCCTAGCTTCTCAAAAATTGGCAATAGCCCTTGTAATTACACAGTGCAAGTAGTTCAAACACCACTCAGTATGCATATACTGTAATATGTATGTACACACATACACAAAGTGACGAGTAAAAAAAAAAAAAAAATGTGACAAGTAGCCAAGTATGGTGTCCATACTTCGAATTTGTGCTCTGCATTTATCCCATCCAAGTGCACACACACAGCAATGAGTAGTGAACAAACACACACACACCTGGAGCAGTGTGCAGCCATTTTTGGTACGGTTCAGTTGACTGAAGTTGTTAATTCCATGTGCCATCTGCTGGATTGATGCAATTTACAACTTATAGTACAACGGAGACATTTTCTCATTTGTCTGTTATGGAGAAAATTATGAACATGAACTCTCGAATGGGTGAAAACACAAATCAATGACTATTGTTTGTTCCCCAAAAGTGGGACACCTGAATTTAAATTCTGCATTTAAGGAGCAAAACAGATTGATCACATTCAACACAATAAGTTCATGATTATGTTTTATTCTAAAACAACATCATACATGTAATACACAAACAAATTTGTCATGATAATAGGGTAAAATAGATTGTATCTGTTACACATCAGTTTAGGAAAGCAAACCATTTCAACCAGACATGGAATTCATCAATACATTAAATCTTCATTCAGATTCAGACATTACATCATGTTAGGAAAGCAAAAAGCAAACCATTTCAACGGAATTCATCAATACATTAAATCTTCATTCAGATTCAGACATTAAAAAAAAAAAAATGGTAAGCTCAAGAAACACGCTTGAGCGAAACATTTCACATGGCATGACGAACATAAAACACGTCAATCGATTTCAACTTTAAAATTATAATGGAAAGAGCTTCATTGCATCGTTGTGGCTAAAGAACATCATGTTCCCTTGAACTCTGACCTTAAGTAAAACCAGTGTTCTGGGTCATTTAGACATTTGCCACAAACAACAATGGATTGTGTGGGGGGGGGGAAACTAACCTAGTAAGAGAAACTTAACCTTTTCATGCCATGTGCTGTTGATGAGGAGAATTTCAACCAAGATCCAGAATGAAGTAAACTCTAGAAGACTCATGCAGACAAGGATAATGTTTAGAAGCACCACAGGACTCCATGCCACTACAGCGGATAATGCAATGTAACAAACTTTACAGCGTTGCATATCTATAAGAACTGATGGAACAGGCATGGCTTTGATTCGCCAAACGACTCCACATGTAAAGTCCAGTTCTGAAATATTACTAACTCCAGAGATTCTCCAGTGAGCTTGACAACAAAACCTCAGATAAACAATGCTGATCAGACTAAAGCAAAACCAATAACCCTGCTCACTGATCAGGGGCTCCAGTGTTTTTGGTTTTGCATGAGAAACTGAAAAAGCCACAGCAAAGGAAGGTCCTTCAAAACATTTTACCTCTCGCAAAATTTGTTGGATTTAAAACAAAATAACAAGAAAAGAAATAGATAAACTTGGGCAAAGAAATATATTGTAGAAAAGGAAAGCTAAGACAGGCGCAGAGTGTTTGATGGTTTCTCCCCAGTTTCCAGTTGTGTCACACACTTAAATATTCTAAGAGGAGTCTCTAGCCTTTCCATTGGTTCATATGCACCATCTCACCCCTAACAGGGACACTAGCGTTTGGAGAGCTCATTGGATAACCAGTCCAGTCCTTCATATAGTCCAGTGCCCTGTGTAGCGCAGGTCGCTTGGACATACCACTGCAAGAAGCCCAGACAGAGAAAAATAAAACAATTTAAAAAATTATTATTTTTTTTTTTTTTAAACAGCAAGTAGGATGTCACAGCCCACACTCCATTCACAAAGTACATTTACACGCTTAGAAAAAAAAAAAAGGTACAAAGCTGTCACTGGGGCAGTACGCTCGGGTACAAAAATCTAAAGGGTACATCTTTGTACCTTATTTACAGGAAATGGTACATATTAGTACCATCCCAATAACAGTTTTGTACCATTTTTCTGAGAGTGAACATGCACTTTAAAGGTTTGATTTCAATTGCTCTTAAGAAAAAATGTTATCTGTACCAGTCGATTTTTGAAAAGTCAGACTAACAGACCAAGATAATGCGATAAAAGCAATAGTAGCAGCTGTTTTGTCTGACATGTTTACTACCATTCAAGAGTTTAGGGTTGGGAAGATTCTATAGATTCTATTTTTTGAAACAAATGAATACTTTTATTCAACAGGAATGCATTAAAATGGATGAAAAAAAGAGACGAACATTTTTCCTATTTTAAATAAATGCTGTTCCTTTGGCCAGAAAAATCTCTCAGCTTCCACAAAAATATTCAGCAGCACAAATGTTTTCAACATTGATAATACTAAGAAATGTTTCTTGAGGAAATCAGCATATTAAAATGATTTCTGAAGGAAAGACTGGAGTAATGATGCTGAAAATTCAGTTTTCATCACAGGAATAAATGCCATTTTAAAAATGTATTCAAATAGAAAACAGTTATTTTAAATTATATATTTTTTTAAAATACAATATTACCGTTTTAACTGTATTTTTGATCAAATAAATGTAGCCTTGTGAGCATAAGAAATTTCTTAAAAAAAAATACAATCTTACTGCCCCCAAACTATTGACCGGTAGTGTATTCATCATTTTAATTAGAAGTTACTCAGGCATTGTGCTGTTTAATCAGAGGGTGGCTAAGTTGAAACTAGAGAGTAGGTAGTGCATGCTGGTGTTAGTGTGCAAGTGTGTACCGTTCTACTGCGTAGACTTTGCAGTCCAAGTTTGTCTGTGAGTTCACTGACAGCCATGGCGTTAGGCAGATCCTGTTTGTTTGCGAAAACCAGCAGCACGGCGTCCCTCAGTTCATCTTCCTGCAACTGCACATACACACAGGAAAAGACACCGATGAGGCAATTCAACCACATTAAGCAAAGCTGATTCCTGATTCCTGTCCTGATTCATTGCACTTAGCTGCCATTTCAAAAGATCACAAAGATATATGCTTACCATTTTAGAAAGTTCCTCTGCAGATTCGGCCACTCTCTCTCGGTCATTGCTGTCCACCACAAAGATCAGACCCTGAGGACAAAGGGAAAACCAGAAAGAGCAATGAGTCTCTGCAAGGACTGAAAGTAAGTGTGCCCTTAAGTAATGTTATTTTGTATGAATACTCATCAAGATCTTACCTGTGTGTTCTGAAAATAGTGTCTCCAGAGAGGACGAATCTTATCCTGGCCACCGACATCCCACACGGTGAAGCAGATGTTCTTGTATTCAACGGTCTCTACATTAAAACCTGCCCAAAGAAATACAGTGACAAAGTGCATTGAGTGGAATAGTTCTGCTTTTTTATGAAACACTGGCTAAACATTGTAGTGGTGTAAGACAGGACAATCAGGCAATCACTGAAACCACATGTATGATGACAGCCAGTGGACGTTAACATATCATAAAGGGAGACAAGTACTGAAAAAAATTCCCCGGGTGGATGATAGTATACTCCTATGACTCAGAACACAACATGACAAGACAATGACCTCAATCCACCCATGAGAACTGCTTCGAGATCATAGTCAAATCAAAACCAGTCCTGTCCTCTTACCTATGGTTGGAATGGTGGTCACAATTTCTCCAAGTTTGAGTTTGTACAGTATTGTGGTTTTGCCGGCAGCATCCAGCCCCACTGTAAAACAGCAAGTATTCACGATGAGAATAAGGTTTGTAAATATATGAAAAGACAGAAACAGCAGTCAATTCTCTTAAAAACTCAACAATGTCCTTAAATGGCCAAGGATATAAACTACACTGTACTATACTAGTAAACATACTTTACTATAATATAAACATAAATATGTACTAAAACCATATTACTCTATAGCATACTACTTTATGTACTATCATAAACTAGAGCATGATTTAAACTGTACTATATTAGTTAATACATTACAGAGTATACTAGAACAGTACTATACTTAATAAATAATACTATAATCCAAAGAAAGTATACCATACTAAAATGGTTAAGTACACTAATATATATATAAATACTAATATTAGCCATGCACTTTCACACAACTGAAAATTTGGAAAATTATACAATTATGCACACGAAAATAAAACTGAAAAAGTACAGTACAGAAAAACCAACAACTTTAAAAATATAATAAAAAATAAATCAGAATAAAGTCGGGTATAAAAATCAAGTTTTAAAAAAAATCGAATAAATACTTTGTAAAGCTGACAAACTTTTAAAGTTTTATTTATTTTAAGTCTTATTCAGATCGTCTCTAATACTACGTACAGTCTTACTTCGGTCAACAAACGCACACAGTTAAGTTTTTATTAGTAAACTCGCATTTATGAATGTGGAATTTGGTCAGAAATAATTAATAACAATTAAATAATAGCGTAATTGCATTTACGCATATTTCTGATTCTTTTTGAAATATTCAGTGAAGCCAAAACAAAGTACATTTTCCCATGAAAGTGAGAGGTTTGGGGCACTGAATATGTTTATTGACCGATTTCTGTGTCACACGTCGCAATACGAGTACGATGCTAAAATGAACGCAAGGTGGTTATTAGACAGTACAGTATACTAGAATATATATATATATATTTCAATCGAATATAAATTAAACTAAACGGTCAGTGGCTAACCTGTTCCTGCTCACGAGCTGCCAGTACGTTTAAATTGACCAAATTCATTTATTCAAAGCTTGTGGGATTCTATCGCAAGATAATTTAGCACGTAAACAAACGCCCACTTGACTTAGCTCCGTCTCTGCGTGGTAAAGAAACGCATACTTTGAATTAAAGCAGATGAATCGGTCGTAGGCTTTGTATTTGATCAGTTATATTCCGGAGAATGACAGAACTGCGAGAGTTGGCTGACGCCGCTAGCTTAGCTAGCATGAAGACTCAACACTCACCCATGAGAATTCTCATCTGTTTCTTTCCAAACAGCCTGCTAAAGATCGATGAGATGGTCAGACCCATGATGAAGGACACAATACAACTACGGGATGTATCCTAATGGCTAAAGTTGTTTCGGTGTGACGCTCGTCGGGTGTCAGGAAACCCTGTCCGCTCTGCGCATGCGTACTGCCACGCCACGGCCGCCGTGGAAGAAATGACGCCAACCCATTTCCGGTGATCAGATTCAAGTCAAGTCACCTTTATTTATATAGCGCTTTTAACAATACAGATTGTGTCAAAGCAACTGAACAGCATTAATTAGGAAAATAGTGTGTCAATAATGCAAAATGACAATAGTAAACACTCATTTTTCATTTTTTTTCAGAAGAAAACAGCGCATAATGACACAAACAGGTTCACATACTGTTACAAATTACTTAATAATAATAATAATACAATAATTATTATTTTTAACAGTATGTGTCTGTAATATTATACGCTGTGTTAAGTTGTCTTTAAAAAAAAACTCATTATGAAAATCTGTCAGTCGAAGGGGCCAAGGTGAACGTGATCAAGTGCTTTGGTTGGTTCTTACGCAATATAGTTAAAAATAGTTAAAAGGTTGGCTTCTTGACAGCCTTCATTATTCTATTGCTACGATTTCGTAATGGATATATCCTAGTGGTGCCAGAATAATCATTTCATTTACAAAAATGTATTTGGATCATATGCAGAAAGTTTTAAATAAAGCATAACATTAATCTAGTGCAAGAAGTGCAGTATCAGCAGTTTGTGTACTATTGATCAATAAAGGATGAGCTATAGGCCAGTGCCAAAATATGTTGTAATGCTTCTTAGAAATGTACAATGTCATTTATATTGTATTTATATTAAATATTTATATTAGATTTTCTGAAACGCCAGTCTTTCTTACTGGATAAATATGATTAGCAGTTTTGTATTATTGTTTATATAGTGAATATGGGAATAATGTAGTATGGGAATCAATGTTAAAATCCAGAAGGCACTATCACTTGATGGTACACAAGGATTTCACGTATTTTCAATGTCCTCCTCATACATTCAGTAAACTCATTTACAAATTTTCTGTTTATATTCATATATGTGTGTGTGTTTTATTCACATACCTCTATTTATTATTATCTGTGTGTTGTTGTTGTCTCTGTGTACTGGAAGCTTCTGTCACCAGAACAAATTCCATGTATGTGCAAACATACTTGGCAATCAATCTCTTTCTGATTCGGATTCTAATGTACTCTGGCATTTACTCGCTCTTAAGCTACAACTACTCCAAACTTGCACTAGAGGGATGCCTCGACCTGGAATTCCTCCCAAACTTACTTTCTGTTGTGCCATAATGCTCTCACAGTTCTCAAGTAAATGTGCAATTTAAGCATTATCTTACAGTCATGAAAAAAACAAAATCTGATTTGCAAGGAAAAAAATTAAAAGAACATTAGTAGGAATACAGCACAGAAAAAGACAGATAAGATAGATTAGACATGATGCTGAACACTTGATAGCTCCTCCACACACTCTCTCACACACACACACTCACTCAAGTTCTTCAAGACAGAGTCTATCAACCGGCACACTCCATCTTTCTAAAGTACACACACATCTCGCCACTATCAGCAGGCACACTAGTGTTTGGAGAGCTCGTTTGATAACCAGTCCAGTCCTTCATAGAGTCCGGTGCCTTGTGTAGCACAGGTTGCTTGAACGTACCACTGTGGAAACAGACAACAGGCAATTAAAATGCAGTCAATGTTTAAGCAAGTGCATGTTGGAGTTAATCGAGTAAGTGTGTGTACCGTTCTGCTGCGTAGGCTTTGCAGTCCAAGTTTGTCTGTGAGTTCACTGACAGCCATGGCGTTAGGCAGATCCTGTTTGTTTGCAAAAACCAGCAGCACGGCGTCCCTCAGTTCATCTTCTTGCAACTGTATAAATTAAAAAAGGTCAATAAATCAAGACAATGTACAGAGCTCAACGATAAGGATGGCAGGGAGAAAGCGTGAGTTGCGGGTCACCAAATGTACATTAAATACCTAGTATTTTTGCAATAAAAAAACGTATTCGCAGAAATGCAGAAAGTGTGTGAACTTAAAATTAAATTTAACCCTTGTGCTGTGTTGAAAATGTTTCTGGTTTAAAAATGACTGACCTTTCAAAAAATGCTCGTACATTTCTCTCTTTATGCTATATTTTCATAAAATCTTGGATTTAGTCTTTTTGTAAATGTTTTTCTGTCAATCGGTTTATTTTGGAACCGAGTGGTCACAGGCCTCAGTTTTGGAGTGAAAAAAAAAGCATTATTTGTGGATAAATTTGGCAATGTTTACTCAAAAAAAAAAAATCAATGAGAACTATGAGCAATCAGTTCCAAAAAGAAATACAAAACCTGTGCTAAATGAAAGATAAACAACTTGATAAAAAGACTGAATCCAATATTTGGTAATAATATAGCATAAAAATACATTTATAGGCAATTTTTTGTACGTCATTCTTTTTTGAATGGGAAAACCACAAGTGTAACAAGGTTGGGTTAAAATCCAAAACAAGTTAAAGGGGTCCTATTATGTTTTTTCACTTTTTTTATTTTAGTCAGTGTGTAGTGTGTATGTTTGGGCATAAAAAAAGATCTAGAAAGTTACAAATCTCAAAGTCCACTCCAAAGGGAGAAATTTCGTTTTTTTTTTTAAATCCCTTTTCAAGAACTACAACGAACGGCTCGTTTGGACTACAGCGTTGGTTTCCGGGATTTGTGATATCACAAAGAGGCTCATTAGAATATCATTAAAAATAATTCCCGCCTACAGAAATTCGAATGGTTGGCGGGTGGGGAGGGGCGAGGTTGTGGTTAGAACGCTTGGTTGAGTGACTGCATCAGACGAGACGACGACGAAGAAGTGCTGCTGCAGAGTTAGTGCATCAGAGAAAACCAAGCTGGGCACCGCGGACAGACGCTGCCGGTGTGCCTATACTCATAGAAAATAATGTATTTTAATTTTAAAGACATGGCACGACGCTGCGCTTCTCGTCTGGTGTGCGGCCGCCTGAAACGCTGTTTTTTTTCACCTACATGCTCAAACGTCTTCGTCTGGGCTTCCGAAAGCGGATGATGTCAGGAAACAGTGGTTGCAATTTATTTTTTAACTCTGTTCCTGAGCATTATAACCCCAATTTGCTATTGTGTGCTGCACATTTTACTGAGGACAGCTTCCACAACACGAGGGAGTACAGTGCCTGCCGGATTCCCAAAAGCTTTTGTTGAAAGACGGAGCAAGGGGGCGTGGCAGTACTGAAACACCGTCTAAGCTGTTCGCCAATCACAACGCACTGGGACAGCTAACCAATCACAACATATTTTGTTTTTCGGAAGGCGGACCTTCATCAAAGCCGGAACTAATCGAGCCGTTTGTGCCAGCCTGGGGAGAAAGGTATTTTAATAATGTAAATTATGTGAAAACAAATGCGTTTTTCGAACCACCAAGCATGAGAGCATGTTCTAGTACACCCCCAAAACAAAATCAAGACTTTGTAAAAGAGCATAATAGGACCCCTTTAAATGTTTTTTGTAAAAAGTTGTTACACCCTGTGTGAGCAAAGTCAGTCAATTTTAGTCCAATGCAATAACATTAACTAGCATTTTTGGGATGCTAGTCAAAACGACCAGAACACAACATGAGGGTTAAAAGGTCATAAACACAAGTGTCACAAACATATTACATGGAGTTTTCTCAAGATGCTTTGGTAAGAAAATCTCCACCAAGTACATGAATGCAAATGTAAATACATTTTGTAACGTGATCTCCGTTTAGGTCACTAAAGATGACAGGTTCTTGAGCATTATACAGATTTTATGTAATATATACACAGTAAACGGAAAGCTTTAAACAGAGCAATTCTTACCATCTTAGAAAGCTCTTCTGCAGATTCGGCAACTCTCTCTCTGTCATTGCTGTCCACCACAAAGATCAGACCCTGAGGACAAAGGAATAAAAAATTATCAAGATGCTTCAAATGAATAATATGCACAAAAGCGCCTGATTACAAAGATTACAGCACATCTCAACCAATATTTTGCACTTTAAAAAGAGATTTCACACCAGGATTCTCAAAGGGCATGGTTCCTATAACTGATCTATATCAAAAGTTATTCTGAATAAATGCATTCAGAAACAGCTAAGAGGAACTTTGGCCCGCTAAACGTCTCTAAATAAAGATCTGACCTGTGTGTTCTGAAAATAGTGTCTCCATAGAGGACGTATCTTGTCCTGACCGCCGACATCCCACACGGTGAAGCAGATGTTCTTGTATTCAACAGTCTCTACATTAAAACCTGTCCACATGCAAAAAAAAATACAGTTTAAGAACATTTTACTCAACATGCATCATAATATCAAAGTATTTTTGATTGACTACAACGAGATTTGTGATACACAAATATTTCAGCCAGAGCAGTTCACTGGTTGATATTTGGCTGTTAAGAGATTATCGCCATCAGATGATGACTGTCTAATTGACCCTTTGGTCCCTCGGTTTACTATAGTTCACTAAGAAACAAAGTGAAAGTGCACCTGTTTTACCATATTGTCAGAACATTTCTGTAAAACCTTGTGATAATGTGGCGGACAGCAACAGTTGCTAAGGTAGGACTGATCAGTAATGTTTTTAAGGCGGGGCTTAGCGATGAGTAAATGAACAGCACTTATGTCAGCTCCAATACCTACTGTCAGGATTGTCAATGGATAAAATACTTTGTATTTTCAAATATTCTAATACATTTTGAATAAAAATAAATTTTATTATATATGCTGTTAATAAGTGATCAATGCTGAAAACAGTTGCTGAAGGATTATGTGACACTGAAGACTGGAGTAATAATGGCAGCAAAAATTAAAATAGAAAATGTCTTTTAAATTTTAATATTTCACTATTACTGTTTTTGATCAAATAAATGCAGCCTTGGTGAGCAGAAGAGACTTCTTTCAAAAACATTTACAAATCTGAATTATTCCAAACTTTTGACCACCAGTGTATATGTAAATTGTAAATAATAATTGCACAAAAAATTACTTTTAATCATTATCAAGTGCAATTTCTCCCCAATTAAGCTGTAAATGTGGTGGCAGTGACAGAGATATCGGTCATCAAAATGATGGGAATCTTGAAACAGATTGACATTCATGCGGGGCTTAGCGATGAGTAAA